CGGTGAATGAAACGATAGCTGCTGAATTGACAATCAGATTTAATAGTACTATGACATGTGAAGATTTTTTTTCTTTTGCTCAAATACAACCGCAACTGATAAAGTGTGCCAGAAGTCAACAAAAGTACAGTCTCGAAAAAAAGCGTGCAACAGTTAGTGTAAATATAAATCGAGAAGGTTCACTTTGAGTAAGCATTGTTTTATTATGATTGAATTGAATATATGTATGTCAAAATGAAATTTTATTGTGAACATATTTATTAGAAAATAAAGATTTCAATTTGAAAGCTAAACTTTATAGTAAAACGAAAAACTGAGAATGCCCTTTCCTGATTGAAAATAGTTTTCGAAATTGATTTCCGCAGCCGATGACCAGCGTGAAAGATGTAAACTGCGTACCTAACGTGTACACCATTCCGAAATCAGTGTACCCCATTTGGGACCTGAGCAGCTGGCAACCCTGTGTTTGATGTGGAATTTACATGAATTTTGTGAAAGTTAAATTTCGTCTTAGGAAACGTCTCGTTTTGTTCGTAATAGTCAATTATCTTGGAAACAAAAACTAAAGAATTTCTTCATTCGATATATTTTACTTTTTCTACTGAGCTATTAGCTATAGTGCGAAGAAACCAGTAAATGGATAGAAAATAAAAAATATGCTTTTTACAATCACAAAAGATGAGCGTTTCATGATGATTATATGTTGAAACTTCTTGTCGAAAGCTGAAAACATGAAATGGGGATCTTTAGATGTTTTCAAATATCTTCTATTAAAACTTTGATAAGCCAAGCATCATATTTCCTGTTCAGTTAAAAGATACGTGTGTTTTCGAGGAAGTAATTTTCAATTTGTAGTCATTAGAATAAGAATTTTATTATTCATGTGAAGAGAATTGACAACATCTAACTAAATTGAAATAAACATACTAATTTCTGCAATAGTTAAATAATTTATTGTAAGTATATAGTTTTCGATTTCTCAATTGATATTTTCAAGTGAAATCTAGTTCTAGGGTAAATTAATCATTTTATATATTTATGTGTTCATGAATAACGTGAATCCGAAAAAAAAACTGTTTAAAATCGTATTGTTTTAACATTTGTATTACATCTATTTCTTATTTATTTCATTGACTCAGCGTTAGCTGAGTGGCTATTGATCGATATTAGTTAATAATAGTACGAAGATTACATTGAATTAAACACGTTTAACTGTAATACTTCTAACTATTCAATTTTATTAATGCAATGCGAAGCATGAAGCATTTCTGTGGTCCATCGCGAGTTTTCTTGTTCTTTTGCTTTCACGACGTACGCATCTTTTTCGTCGTTTTGTGACGCGATTATCTCGAGAACTCAAAATCGTAAAAAAAGTAGTTAAAATGTCAGATAAAAGTATCGAGATCGAACTTATAACACCTGTTTTTGGATCATCGATCTGAAATTCCATCCACTCACAAATGTGGTTCCAAAATGACGAAAATGAAAGGAATTTGTCCTTTTCAAAATTCGAGATAATTAAAATGATGTCATCAACAAATGCTAGTCACTAGTGTACTCGCTCACAGCTGATAATAGATATTGAATCATTGAGATAATTAAATGTTCAATCGAAATCGTTCTTGCAAAACATGTCGCCAGGCATGCATGGAGTTTTCACAGTGATGCAATCGTTAATGGTTAGTTAAGTAGTATTTGAAATTTCGACCAGCTGCTCAGTAGAAAATTTTCGTTTTAAATTCTTATACATAAATAGCGAAGTCATTTCCACGAAGAAATGAAAGTAGAGAAGCCAAGACCGATTTTTTTGCTTCTTTTTCTTGGGAACTATACGTGCACATCACATCAGGTCATTTTCTGTCATGATGATCTCAAGATCAGAAAATCACAAATAACTCGTTCCAACGCATTGTAAACGTATCGAATCTTTCATCGACATTCAGTGCGCTCACAAATATCGTTCCAAAAAACACCATGCCGAAAGGACTGTTCGTTTTCAAGATTCGAAATGATTAAAATAATGTAATGAAAAAACATTAGCCACTAGTCTATGATTTCTTGAATTCTCCAATACAAACAACAAAATATTGTAAACATTGAAGTTCTTCATAAATGTTGATATTAACATTTTAATATAGAAAAACAACAATCAGGACGAAATTTTCCATTGATACAACAAGATTTATGTGTAACTAAATATTTCAACAATGTAAATAGTTGTTAAATGAATTTAATAAATTTAACATTAAATTTTCAAATGCCGATTGAATTTCCTCTTCGTTTATATTTAACAACGATGAAACAATATTAAAATACTTTCGAATGAGATCTATTGTATTTTCATTTAAATAGTTCTTATCATTTAATACATTGTTAATATCTATTAACGCTTTTTCTTTTTTCTTTTTTCGAGAAGTATTTTGTGTTTTACAAGTTGTAATTTGAACTTCAATACTTCTTTATCATCGCAAGTATCACCAACTGCCGCCATTCTGCAATATATATATATTTACATAATTGTTCTGTATAAACAGAAGAAAAAAAATGATAAAAAAGATCGTGGAACTGAAGTTAAGATTCAAAAAAGCTACACATGATGACTTTCTGATCTAATCAGAATCATGTGTTGATGTGATAGAATTGTTTTATGACGAGCACGAATACGAAAACATAAAGTAACTAGATGTTATTCGAGTTTCACTCGTATACGAAATACGGTGCGAAGCACGAGTCGAGTACACGAAAAAATAAAAAATTTGACGAAAAAGGAACAAGCAATCTTAAAATTAATTAGACATCGCTTTGACTTGGTTAGTTTCATATTCGCTGGGAATATACACCTTTTCCTGTCTTCAGCAGTTGTAATAAAAAACAAAAAAGGTTTAAATGGAGCAGATGATTGAAATTTAAAATACACGCAGAGCAGCTATTGTCGAATCTATCACTACGAGAACTCTATCAAGGCTTATGAGCGTGTTCTTATAGAACGATTTCGATCGAACATTTAAATATATTTATGGTTTATTATGCAGTTTTAGCTGTGAATGAATTCTGACGCTTCGTCACAATCATCAATTGTAGAAATATTACACTATTTACATTTAATATCAGATATACAAAATCGTAAAAAAGTTATGGATTTTTAATTAATTGTAAACAAATAACATTTTTCTATGTCGAAAAAGAATGTGAATCAAATTTGTATAATTACTATATGACAGATATAATATAAGAAAAAAAATTGGCAATTGGTTTGACTTCAATGGTTTATTTGTTAGTAAAAAATGAAAATAATTCTTTAAATGATGACATAAAACAATGCGTAATGAAAATATCTAGAAGTAATTTATATACAGAATGTTTTTTAAATGAAGTTGCGATAACAAACGAATTAAAACAAATATTTCTTCTATTGATCATATATTAAATAAGTTAGAAGAAAAATCTGTGTAAAATTCAATCCATTGATGATGAAAGTTGTCTTTCTTTGGATTTTATAGTTAATAAAAGAAGAGAAACAAAATTACATAAGTTTGCTTTTATCTGTATTTAGATAAACAGAAGAAAATGAAATAATAAGACTGTTTGAAATAAAATATAAACTAATAAGATGTTTGTCTAAAAAACAGCAACAACAATGATTGATAATGAAAGAATGCAAAAGAATTTCACCATTTTAAATTTAATAGACTAATGAAACAAATAATTTGTTTTTTACGATAAGAAGATTAATGAAAATTTGATAAAACATGACTGTAAGAAATGTTACCGATAAAGAATAATAGTAGTGCAACTAGAACATTAATATTAATATTCGAATTATATCATTAGATTAATCATTATAAAATTTGACCTGAAACAACTTTTTTCTCCTTTGATTCATTCTAACTAGGTTTAATCATTATTCTAATGAATTTCAAAGTTTTCTTTTCATTATCCATAAAATTGAGACAAGATATTTTGGTTGGTTAGAATTTTTATGATCATGAATAATTAATAGAAAATTGTTGAAATAGTCAAAAGTAAAAATTCGAAATTGATTAAACAAAACATTGAAAAATTCAGAATAGAAACCTACTAACATATTGAGTAATAGTAAGCCAGTATCATGTACAAACTCATTGAAAATGACTTGACTTTTTATTTTCAATAAAGTATTAAGTTGTTTGAATAGAAAAAATGATTATTTTTGTTTTTGTTTATTATTAAAGTTCTTTAAAATTAAATTTTTGTGATTGTTTAAAAGAATGTAATGTACTTATATATATATCTTCGAAAAAATCTAGGATGAATTCTGTCCAATCTCATACGTCAAGCTGATGTTTCTACCGTTCATTAATTCTTAGATAAGTAGTGTCAGCAAAGAAACTTTCATCATCTTCTTATGTATTTATTCAGAGAAATTCTATCCATAAAATTATTTTTTCTATTGTATTACCGTATAATAATAGAAGATTTGATTGAATTACTTATTTTGAAAAATCAATCCAGATTGTATACATCTATAATTTATTATAAATTTTAAATGAAAAGAATTTCATGTCGAGCATCTTTATCTCATAATCATTGAAATAATATATAATTCTCTTGAGGGTGTGTGGGGGTATGGACCTATTTTCTCTTTAGATTCAAACTACTTTCTCTTTTCTATTAATTTATATTCTCTTTCATATTAATTGATTTTCTCTTTAAGTTCGAACTATCTTTTGCATTGATCTATTTTCATTTAGATGATATTGTTCAAAATTTTTTCATGCATCCAGGAACGATGATGAGTGATAGGCAAACCATGAAATAATTTTTCCCAGAACATTAACCTTGAAATTAGAAGCTATGAATGTAAAAAGTTGCGAATTGAATAAGAAAGCCTTACAAATTCTAGCTAATAATATACTTTTTCCTGAAAAACAAAATAATGCAAAACTGTTTCTCTCTAGTTTTGGTTTTGGGAGACTTTCTCTTTCAAATCTTCCCCCGCTAACCAAAAACAAACGAAAACTATGATTGATATAATTGAATTTTTATATACTTCTGATATTGTTTATCGTGATATACGTCCACAAAATTTGATGTTAGATTATCATGAAGAACATATAAAATTAATCGACTTTGATTTTGCCATTACATATGCTGGTTATGAATTATTAACCTGTTATGTTGAAGCATTAGTGAATGGACAATATGCAGCATTTTATCATTATGAACGAACGTTTGATTTAAAATGCGCATTAAATATTATAATATACGTGATCGATAAAAATGTCCAAGTTCAGCTGAATGCTATTGAACAATTATCACCTAGTCTGGCGAAAATTTCGAGGTCGTTAGAATTGTGGAAAAATATTAAACAGAAAAATGAAATTTATTCTCATTTATTACATTTGATAAACAACTCGATTGAATTATCTGCAATTGGTGATTTTAAAGATCAATTAGAAAAACTTTACTATTTAGGAACAAAAATAATTACATATAGCTTATAAATTTTATGTTCGTGTCATTAATTAAAATCTTATAGATAGTTATCTATTTTTTCTTTCTTTCTGTTTTTGTTCTTTGTTGTAACACTTGATTTGGATATACATATAAAAATTCTAGCTCAAAGCAAAAAAAGAAAATTCTTCCATATTTGTTAACATAGCAGTTTTTGTGTTTTAGTGTTCAGTCTAAAAGATTTCATTTATTCTCCTTGGTTATTCTCTTTCCTGCATGCATTCTTCTCCTATTATGATTGTTTTATATCTTTGCAAACTATTGATATAGAGTGTTATTCCTAAAGAGTGGTGAAACGTTAGTTTATTCGAAAGCTCTCTGTTAAACACTATTGCCCATTTAATTTACTCTGATAACATGTAATCTAAGTTGATCACTGCTTTAATCCGATCCATTCAGGAAAAACTCGAATCATGACCTAAAATATTCTACGTTTGTTCTATTTTCTTCTTTCACTCTTGATTCCTGAAAGTATTTTTCTAAGCTAAATTCTTCAGTACATTCAACGGCGAGCGTGGGAGTATCTGTATACTTTTTTTCTGTATGAAAGCATTTTATTTTCTTGCTTTTCTTGCTCACTATTGAAGTAGGATGAGAATATATTCAAAAAAGTTTTGGATTTCGTTTTTCTTTTAGAACTCATTAAATTAATTTTATAACTCCGATAATGAACAAATCTTTTAAGATCATCGAAATATTAAATATATTTTATATAGAATTATGATGAAGGATTTCCTATAATCAAACGATACCAATAAAGAAATATCTATTAACTATTTTTAAACTTTCTGTCATAATCAGCAAATAACAGAGACTCCACTTTAATCGGTAAATATGCACTACTACTCATCTGAGTCAACAGGTAGAGACTGCCTTTCTTTCAATCTTCATGGAACTCAGCAACTTAACTCAGCTGATAGAATGATACGCTGTAATGATTTATTGATGGCAGTGAAAATTTTTCTTGCTTTCCGATTCCAATATAAGGACTAATAGAATAGAAGATACTTTCCCATCAGTTTGTGTTTATCTAGAATCTACAGTTAATCGATTCGATCTTCATAAGCTTCATCTTACTTTCGTAGTGACGAAATCACTTGTTAATTTAATAGACAAAGAACTCATCTTTTTCTATCAATTGATACAGATAAAAATAGATAGAGTTTTACTTTTATGACAATACGATACTTCTGTTCTCGATATTTTTCTTTGAATCTGCCCACACCCACACCCTCAAATATGAATTAGTACATATAAAAATAAAGTATCTCGACTACCACTGTCTACTGTTGATTTTTATTTCAGTGATATTATTGGTGAAGCAACATCGATTGCAGATAATGACTATGTAAAACAAGCTACAATAGAAATTGAAAATTTGAACAGGCGATTTCTTTTTCCTCTCAAATAAATTCAATTCTATCATGATTTTTATATATGTAGATAAAAATCAGGTATTATTGAACTTCTATTCGGTTTCGAATCCTTAGAAACAAATTATATGAATTGCATGGTTGAAGAAGAAAAACACAAAAATTAGAGGATCAATTTCGTATGTTATACAATCAACTATGTTTTATTCTTACGTTTGTTTTTGTTTAGAAGAACTCTATGATCATGTATGCGTGCTTGATAAGAACTTATTTATTTTTCCTATGGTCAAATATTTATTTATTTCACATGTTTATTCCTTAAATCAAATGAATAACTGATTATAAATATATTTTAGTTTGTTCCAATGAATTCCACTTGCTATGATGATCCAACAAAAGATCATTCAGGACCAGCTGCTTGTCAAGGCATGTAGTTTTTATCTTTTAAATGTTAAGTTGATCTGTTTATTTCTTAATTCTTGGAAGCATTGTTCAAATTTATTACACCAGAAGTATGTGTGCTTGTACTTTTTTTTATTTAATAGACTCACTTTTACTTTAAGCGACGAGTTAAGTTACTACAAAAGAAATTCCTGGTCTAACACAAACGATGATTGTGAAATTATTAGCAATTACTCACATGGCAATATTTTCCAGCTGAAATTCATTCTGTCTTACATGAGCCAATTTATCTTTCGTTCCGTTGAAGGAATGCTTATATTTTATTCAGTTCTACAACATGCAGCACATTTGATTCAAAATCGACGTGCTGAAATAGCTATGACATACTAATATGTTAATCAAATGTTAGATAGTTGA